TTGCTGTTGAGTCGGACCTGACTCATAACAACCACTCCTTGGGTTTCCGAGGCAGTATCACTACAGAAGTAGATTGCCCAACCTTCCTTCTGAGGAGTGGCTGGTGCGTTTGAACTGCCAGCCTTCTGGCTAGCAGTCACATGCCTTAGGCACTACACTACCAGAGCTCCTATTTCAGGAGGTAGCATATGATAAAGAACCAATGGTTTTGAGGAAGAAGTTGATGCTGCACTGAAGGAACCGGTGAAAAACAAGGTTCCAGGAATTGACAGAATATCCACCAAGAGGCTTGAACAAATGCATGCAGCTCTGGAAGCAGTTTCTTGTTTATGCCAAGAAATCTGGAGATAGCTACTTGGCCAACTGACTGGAAGAGATCCCGTATTTGTGATCATCCCAAAGAAAGGTGATCCAATAGAACGTGGAAATTATCAAACATTATCATTAATATCACACTCAAGTAAAATCGTACTGAAGATAATTAAAAAACAGTTGCAGCAGTATATTGACAGGGAACTTCCACAAATGCAAAGTGGATTCAGAAGAGGATATGGACGAAGTGCTATCACTGCTTATTATCAGAAACATCTTAGCTAAAAGCTAAGAATCACCAGAAAAATGTCTACTTGTGTTTTATTAACTATGCAAAGGCATTCAACTGTATGGATCATAACAAATTATGGATAACATTGCAAAGAATGGGAATTCCAGAACACTTCATTCTTTTCATGAGAAACCTGTATATAGAATGATAGAGGCTGTCATTCAAACAGTCCAAGGGGATACTGAATGGCTTAAAATCAGGAAGGGTGTACATTAGAGTTGTATCATTTCATCATACTTATTCAATCTGTACGCGGAGCAAATAATCTGAGAAGCTGAGCTAAACAAAGAACACGGCATCAAGACTGGAGGAAGACTTATTAACAACCTGCAATATGCTGATGACATAACCTTGCTCACTGAAAGTGAAGATGACTTGAAAGCACCTACTAATGAAGATTAAAGACTACAGTCCTCAGTATGGATTATTCCTCAACATAAAGCAAACAAAAACCTCATGTGCATTTGAAAGGTGGACAATTAATAAGGAAGACCAAAGAAGAGCTGATGCCTCTGAATTATGGTGCTGGCAAAAAATACTGAAAATACCATGGACTGCCAGAAGAACAAACAAATCTGTCCTAGAAGTGCAGCCAGAAGGGACCATTCCCTGGAGATGGATATACGTTTTGTCAAGGAGAAGGTCAGCGAAGAAGGGAAGACCCTCAATGAGATGGACTGACATAGTGGCTACAATGATGGGTTCAAGCAGAACAAAGATTGTGAAGATGGTATAGGACTAGACAGTGGTTTGTTCTGTTGTATATAGGGTCGCTAGTCAAAGGCAACTTGATGGCACCAAACTACAACATAATGTACATAAACATTCAAACACCTTTAAAGATCAAACTTGGGAGCTGCTCAAAACAAAAATTTATGGTAGTAAGTTTAAAACTGTTTGATACAGTCAAAAATCAAACAAAACTGCTGCCACCACCTTGGTGTTTGATGCTGTCAAATCAAATCACACAAACTGAAACCCACAATCTGTTTTCTGAGATTTTAAATGTGACAGTCACAACTCACTGATTACTATTTATTATTATGGATTAAGCCTTAAGGTTAAAAGGGATAGTAAGAATATTTGTTACAGTTTAAGACTGAATCTCAAGACACCTATATTTGAAAGTAGAGCTCTCTGGAGAGTTGCATTCACCAAGTGTTCAAAACAAAAGAAAACAAAGCAAATAATATAACCAATAAATCTTCAGCTTACCTCTTTCAGGAAGGATACTTCTTCCCATTTACCAAATCTTAACCGAAATGTGGGGGGAAGGTTTAATGGTACATTCAAATCTGGATATTTTATAATAAAATCTTTATTCTTACACTAATAAGCATCTTTTCATGTACTGGCCACTTGTGTATTTTTTTTGAAGAAATGTTTACTCAGATTCTCTGTCCATTTTTAATTGGGTTATTTATATTATTGAATTATAAGAGATTTTTAAATACTTTCTGAATACTAAAATTTACTGCAAAAAATTCCTCTCATTCTGTGGCCCCACCTCCCCAGTTTCTTCATGGTGTCCTTTAACACATTTTTTATTTTGATGAAGCCCAATTTATTTATTTTTTCTTTTATTGCTTCTGCTTTAGAGAGAATTTTATTTACTATTTCAGAGTAACACATTTTCAATTTGAGAAAGGAATGTAATAGTGCTAAATCATAACTATGGTAGAAGGCAAATTAGCTTATTCAAGAGAACTCCAAAAACACAATCTAGTCCCCAGGTTTTGAACATTATTAATTAGGGTTAAGATTTTTGGCTCCTCAATTTTGAGAAGTTTACCTAAACAAAACCACTTTTTCAACTGAATGGAAAGACACACTCATGCAGGTGGACCATCTGATACAGTGGGAGGACAAAACTAGAGTAAGAAAACCTGATCATGAGTCTACTTTAGAACTTCCAGATTCTCACTGGACTTTTCTCTAAAGTAGTCTAAATTCTTCCTCATTCATTTAAAAGGGTTGTTGTAAAGCTTAAATGAGAATAAGAGCACTTGACAGAAGCACTTAAACCACTGTTTATGGTTTAAGTACTTGCCCTGTCTTATCTCGTGTCAAATACTACAGAGCACTAGAGTTAACTCATGTACTTAATCTTGTAATTTATGTTTTGTCTGTAAAACAATTCTTGTAAAAAAGGGCCTTACTTTAGTTCTTAAGGATTTAGCAAAAAAAAAAATATATAAAATTCTTAATAAAAACTAAGAGATCAAAGTTAAGGAAAGGTTTATCTATAGAAGGAAATTTTCTTTGTTGGTTACCAGGGTTGGGAGGGGAGGGGAGGGAAGGCTGTTAGATAGATAAAGTATTGATTTGGGTGAAGAGAAGGGTAATGTACCAAATGTGAGTGACCAATATGGCACCACTGAGGATGAGAAAGACAGAGAGAGGCACATGAGAGGTATAGACAACAAATATGAATCCTTTTGTACATACAGCACTGCGCTGTCAGTGAAGGCAAACATGGGTATATGGCTGGATAGATGGGTGGATAGGCTAAACGATTAGGTATGTCTATGAAATGG